GCATGTCGGCTTACGTGGATGGACTGGAGGCGCGTGCAGCTTGTCTTATGGCTGTCTATTTCACGCCTGGCACTATTCATGCCTTTACTATATAATTCATCCTAAAGGGGGACCTCCCAGTTGGAAGGGTCCCCGATTTTCGGAAGCACTTGTTTGGGTCTGGCCAGGTTGGAAGATTGGTTCCTTCCCCTTTTGAAGCTCAACTCCCGCGGGTGCCCATCCAACGCGATCCTCGGGGGGTGACCTGAGAGCTTGTCTGTTGCAGAGGCTCAGCCAAGGAGCACGCCCGGTAGGTTTTTGGCACCTTGCGACTCTGGGGATTCTACGCACCCATCATGTTGAGTTGGGGCCCTTCATTATTCTTTTGTCACTGTTCCTTTGTCCTCGGCGCGTGACAATGTTCGGACCGTGTTGCCAATATTGGGATGCTTCACGCACGACATCTCCAATTTTCCCAAGCCCGCAAACCATCCCTCGCGACGCGCTCGCAAAAACAACTCATGCTTCACCTTCCCGGCAGGAGCTCGAAACGGAGGCGTCGTAATCTGGGCGATTTCTTCCAAGCGCGGGCAAGACAATCTGAGGGGCACTGCTTGAGTTGAAGTGGTTCCGATGAGATTGCTGCGTCCGCTTGAGAGAATGCGGAGGTGCTTCGTGAAGCCTTGGCACTTCCTGGAGGGCCTGTCTGCCTTGCTTTGGGATGCGCCGGCAAGCAGTCGGACAGCAGATAGATTCATGCCGCTGCTGACCTTGCAGCAGTGAGGCCCCCTGAAACCGAATCTTTAAAAGCATGGGGCAAGACTTCAGGATTTTCCGTCACATCACAGACGTTCGCGATGCGATGCCAGGCTTTGGTCACTCTTTTTCCAGACCTGGCAAGGGCCTTGGTTGCGCTTGGCCCGGTTTTCCACCTCCAACCCAAAACTTCCCTTTCGGCCCGGCGACGCGCAGCCTGCGTCGGATATTTTCAAGGCCTGGGGGCATCGAAGCCTTTCTGGCGGCCTGGCAGCGGAGCATCCACTGGCGCCAAGGCCGGGTCGGATCGCTCGGGTGCGCAGATCGGTCCAGTCCACACGGGTCGGGCGGAGCTTGGAGCTTGGGCCGGGTTTGGGGTTCGTTCGGCCCGTTGTAAGGGCTGAGTCTAGGCCCCACGTCGTGGCGGGGTAGGCAGTTGACATCATCGCACCTATGCAATCCTGCCCAAAGACCTGGAAGCAAAGGACAAAGTTTATGCCTTTTTACCAGGCTTTCAAGCCATTTCCGGGCAAGGCGGGGTAAACGATTTCTCCGGGCAAACCTGGTTAAACGCCACTTTTGGGCTCACAAGATGGTTGGGCTCATGAGAAAGCCAAAGCTTGCCACCAGTTTCCCAGCAGAAGGCTACCGGATTCCCAGGCCGACAGCGCTCGGCGGCAGCGCAGATCCTGGCACAGGCCGGAAAGCAAGGACAGCAACCACCTGATTTTGAGAACCCAAATCTCAACCAAATGCCCAGCCATCGAACTTAGTCTTTTTTGTTTTTCCAATCCTGGCCACGTCTTTGTTCTCTTGATCGAAGAGCGAGCCATGTCCGGTTTCCGGGGCCGGTTTCGGGGCCGGTTTCGGGGCCGGTTTCGCGCCATTTGCCGTGATGCATGTGCCAAAGGAATTCCCTTAAACGTGGTTGTCAATGGGGCAGCCCGCTTTAGTATCACAGAACCGTATACAGAGAAGCTGTAAGCGTTGGTGTAGTCTGCGTTCATTGCGCCCGCCTGCGAGGACACGAGCAAGCCGTTGAGTTCTTGAGCATTTTGAAACTGAAGTGACCTCTACCCTCTCTGTCACTGTTCAATGTTTCGAGAGTGAGAGGTTCATGTTGGAAGAAAGTCAGCGAATCAGGAACCCAAAGATGCCCAGCAAACCTCTCACTACCTAAAGCGCCTCCTATTAGTGTGTTGCTGTTGCAGCAAGGATCTCTGTGTGTGTGTGTGTGTGTGTGTCTTGGTTTGTCCCTTCTCTGCATCGTCGTCGTCGTCGTCGTCGTCGTCGTCGTCGTCGTCGTCGTCGTCGTCGTCATGGTCATCGTCGTCGTCATGGCCATCGTCGTCGTCATCACCCTCACGTCATCGTCTCGTCTCGTCATCATCATAGTTGGCATCGGCGCGGTCGTCGTCGTCGTCGTCATCGTCATCGTTGTCATCACCGCTAATGCCACACTCATTGTCACTTTTAACGGCGGCGTGGTGGTCATTGTGGTCGACGTGGTTGTCATGGGCATCGTGGTTATCGTCGTCGTCCTCAATGTTTGCAATCATTTTCAACAGCTGTTGGGATTAGCCATCCTTCTGCAGTTCGCCCATGCAGTGTGACAAGCCACACGTGGACAATCCAATTTCACTGTTAGTTTTGGGGGATCGCTTACCCTGGGCACTTTCTCCATTGTCATTGGCTGTTTTCGGCATTTCCGGCCCTTTGTTTGTCACGGCTCTTGAATGCAAACCAAGCCGCGCAGCTGTGGATGTTGGCCCGTTGCGCAGGCGCTAGTGCGTCTGCTGCTGGTGGTGCTGCCGCCGCAAGTGCCTGCTTCTGTGGAGGCACGCCGCTTGCATGCGCTTTTTGCCCTAGGTTTTCCAAGCAATCTGCAGCACATGTTTGTGAACGAGCGATGCACATGTACCAGTTGACCTGAGCGTGGTGCTCCCCAGCATCCGGTTGTCAAGGAGCCGGTCCAGGCATCAGACTGTGATGCATTTTGAAAGCACCATCGCAAAAGTAACGCTACGCAGACAATAGGCCTGCTTCTGAGCCTAGAGTGTGATGAAGAGATCAGATGGCTTCACAATCTGGGCATTGAGAACATTTACACAATTCAACCTGGAACGTTCCCGCAGATAGTTGGGATCTTCATTCAGCCGCACCAAGACGTGTCAGGCCCAGGCGATCTCGTCTCTGTCCTGCCGGCATGGCTTGAAGGCATCATAGGCTCTTGTGACCAGTTGTTTGCAACTTGACTTGGCTGTGGCTCAAAATTAAACAGGGGCCAACCGCAGGTTTTGGTCCATGTTTCCACTTACCAGGCTTTCATTTTGGAATTCCGGTGTTTTGAGCCACAGCCACTCGAGACTAAGCAAGAACAGAGCGAGGTTCTTTGAGAGGGGCCTGTCACTTGCGGCTTCTATCCAAGGCTTTGCATGCCTCCGCCGGCGGAGACCATGCCGAGGCTCCGGGCCGGGGGCGCGGAAGGGCGCGAAGTCGGACAGAGAAAATCCACGTCGGCCGGGCTTTGGGCTTTGGGATCTGAAAGACTGATCCGAGTTCTGAGTTGCGAGAGACGTCCTCAAGCTGGTCATCTTCGAAGCTAAAGACAAGCCTCCAAAGTCTAGCACGGGCACACAGACGCAGGCACAAGTTGGGGAGTGGCATTCTTTGGGTGCACGATTTTGTCCCTGCTTCTGTTTTAGATCACGGTAAGCAGGAAGCGAAGCTTTGTAGGCAGCAACATCCTAGTCTCCGAGTTGTTTGCAAGATCCCCGGAATACGGAGCATCTCGGCTTGGCAGTTTGGCCAATTATAGAAGTTTGTTGGAGTCAAACCAGTTCCACGGTCAGCTTGCAAGGGAGGCTGAGGGGCCCGCCACGAAAACCCGACTCACCAGGCTCCTGCTCTTCTTTGCGGACAGGTCCAAATTGGCGGGGCGCCTGAGCCCATTGGCTTGTTCCAAAGGGCTTCCAAAGTCAAGTCGGACTGCCCAGGTCTTCACGACCTCTCGCCCGTGGTCTGCAGGCAGGAAGAGGCCAGGGGAATCCGCTCTTGCTCACGTGGCAATCACGTGATGACAAAAACGTCTCGGAGAGGCGCACGGGGTCATTGAGAAAGAAAAGAACAATGTTTGTTTGTTCGGTTGGAACCTTTCTGCGAGCATTTTGCTCGCAACCGGTGCACCTTCAGGCTCCTGCTCTCGTGGCTCTGTGCCTTTGCCAGCCTGGTGGCTGACGATCGAGTGGAAGGCCGGTTCTCGAGCTTGGCTGAATCTGCTTTCCCCATGTGCAGTTCGTTACTGCTTTGCTCTTCGCTCAATGGCTTGCAGATTTCGTGCAAGAGCTGCAAGTAACAGAGGCATAAGAAAGCCACACGCAGCGAGAAATCTTGATCCGACCGCAAGTGCGATTACTTGCAGTATTTGATGAGGCATGGAATAGCAGTGCTCTTTCGACCGTTCCATTTGCAGGAGAGGAGGAGAATGAGACGGATCAGAAAGGCTGGCACTGCATCACTGGGAGACGAGCGCTTGGCAAAACTGGAAGGGTCCACAATTTGCGACACCTCGCTAAAACCATAAAATGATGGCCAAGCTGGCAATTATTTTGCCACCTCAACCAAGAGTTTCGTTTCTTTCAGTTGGGTTGGCGAGGTTTGGACACGGCTGCTATGGAACCCAAAGGTCAACTTTGGAGAATCTGTACAGTCCAAGAGGGTTCAGCACCTCTTATTTTGTTTAAACTATGCAACAAGCGTTCCCCTACTTTGAGATAGGACCATACTTTCGGATTGGTATATGCTTGGATGGCTTCGATTTGGTGAAGGTGTGTCAAAGAAACATGTCAATGAGGGTGACGGGGTCGTTGGTACGTCAAGGATATCAAAGGCCCCTCGCTTGCTGCGTCCATGTGTATCTAGCAACGTGCCCAGTTTGAGGCGCTCGGTCCTAAGCTCATAGCGAGACGCGCTCACAGCATATCGTGTTGCAGTCTGGTTGGGAGGTTCATTCCTGGGCGTGTGCGAAATTGGGGACCCTTTGCACTTCATTCTGGAGTTTATAGGAGTGCTAACAGGAAAACGGCCCGTTTTGGCGCCACTTTGGCTTGTTTCCCGAGCCACGCAGTGATATGTCAACCCCCAAATTTGCTCGAACGGTTTTGCCTTGAGCTCGACAGGACGCGCGTGATGCCATCGTGGCATTTCCATTCTGCTCAGGCAGTAGGGATAGAGATGAATGGCTTAGGCTTAGGCGAGATAGGGCGATGACGGGCAGTCTCTTTGATCTCACAGACATCTCGTTCTTCGAGCTGGACCGGCTCTTCGCCCGCAGTGCGAAGACCGTGCCCCGCTCGAGTGGCATGGTTTTTCCTTTTTTATTTCTTGTCCCCTCGAAAAGAGCAGCCGCAAATTGCCAGTTGTTCCTCTTTCTCGCGGAGAGAACGGCAGGTGGGGAAACCATGTTTTCATGAAACATGCGAAAGGCCTAAAGTTAGCTGGATATTTGGCAAATGTAGCCTGTTTGCAACCTCACCAGCGCCTAAAGTTTGAGGTCAAGCGGCGCCAGCAGAAGCGGAAGCGGAGGGAGAAGCGCAATGCCGACACCTCGAGCTCCGAGCGGTCCCGATCCCCTCCTCGGCGCGGGTCCCTGCGCATGGGCGGCCGCGTGTTGCCGCAGACAGGGGGATTCACCGACAAGGCGAGGGTATGGGGGGACCCGAGCTGCAGGTTTTTCTTCTTGTCCTTTGGCCCTCCCTTGAGATATGTAGGCGTGTTTTTTCAGAGGGTGCTCCTTGTGGGGTTGGTTTAAAGGGAGCCAAAGGAAACCGCCCATTTTGGGGGGACACATATGATACCCGGGTGTTTTTGGCGTTTCCAAGTTTTGGACAGGTGGGCATGGTGGAGAGGACAATAGTGGTCACCGCCATTCCCTTCGGCGCGGACGAGAAAATCCTCTTCAAGCACTTTAGCAAGTGCGGTCTGATTGAAGACCTGCAGATGATTTACAACAAGAAGAGCGAGCCCCTGGACTGCAAAGTTGCGGCTTGCCCCGCTCGATTCCGCACTCTGTTGAGACTGGCTGGGCATGGTTTGTGGTCCAAGAAGGCCACTACTATGAGGCACATGTGATTGATTCTACACTTTCGGGCCGATGGCAACGAAGACAACCGATTCGCATGAGGGCCATTCCGCTTCGAAAACCGCGAATTGATCCATGTGCCTCGAGCAGAGGCCGACGGGGGTGGCGATCATCGAGTTCTCCCAAGAGGAGCCACGGCGTGTCTGCAGAGATGTTTATCTCGTGCCATCGGTCAGAACTTGATATCTTACATTCACTATTGTGAAGTGGTTGCAATAACTTCACCAAGGTGGGGGTCATTGGCTTCAACCTAAATTGGCCAAGGTGGTATGAACAGGAGGCGGCAGCTAGGCTGGCCAAACATGAGAGCAGATGGATGCAGCTAGGCAATTGCCCACCGAAGTTAATCCTTGCATTGAGCAAGAGCAGTGCTTGGCTAAAAGGCACACACTGAAGCTCGGTCACCGCGTCACAAATGAAAAGCTACATGAAAGTCGAACATATCCGCAACACAATGAACCACGCTATTGCGAGTCGCTCACCGCGTCCGCACCAGCAACGCCGCACGGCCCAAAGTGAGATACGCTTTCTGTTGAAATTCGTTGGTTTGCGGGTTTACAATTTAGGAAGGGATGACATTGCTGAGGCACCCGGGACAGGTGGATGATGCTCTGCGGGGCATGCCACGTATACCGTACCCCACAACTTGGCGCCAGGAAAATCACAGGAGTGAGGTGTTTCAATCCTGGGCTCAAAAGGGCTTGATCAGCCTCTTCAATCCACACGATGGTGATGCACTTGGCTTTGTTTGGTTAAAACAGTAGCGCCTTCTCAAGCCTCCCCGGCAATCGGCCCATCGATGGCAGCCGTTCACTTTCATGGTGACACGCTCAAAGCTGGTTGGTGGGTAGACAGCCCATGTAAATCGTGTCCCCCAGAATCCCCGATTGAGTGTGTCCCCCCTCTTAGAATCCGCTGTTGAGTGTACGTTATTTTGAGAAATGGACCATTTTTGGGTGACCAAATGGACCGACTCCCCGCCACTTGGTCCACACGACAGTTTTGTGGGCAGGAACCGGTGTCGCGGGCCTGCGCACTGCCGCCGCCTTTCAATGAGATCCTGGGCCAGGCGAGTTGTTGGTCGGTGGGTCGGTTGGTTTGCGACATCAAACGATGGCTACTATATGGTACATGGTTGGGAGGACTCGGATTTCCCAGAGGTAAGCGACCTTAGATGATCTTTGGTGCTGTTGTTGTGGTGCAGGCATTTCCTGCCACGTGTATTCGTTTGTTTCCAAGAAGGTCTTACATGTTTCGTAATCATTGCTCCCCCTTGCTGGCCACAGTTGAAAACTGAGTGACTGGCTACCCTTTCTTGAGGAGGGGCTCCATCCATCTTCAGGCTTGCAATGGGGTAAGCATGATCACCACTGACGGGAGGTTGTTTTGCAGTAAAGCCGATCTTGTACAAAAGAACAACAAACAAGCGAACAGCCAACAAGCAACCAACAAACAACAGCCGATCGTTTTGTTGAAACTCTGAGCCAACCAACAAACGCGTGGTGTCCAAACCAAGCCACGCCCTTTCGAGCCAACGAAGCCCGAAGCCGCCGACTGAGTTCCCAAGGTGGTGCAGGCGAAGCGCGCGGACGCGCAGATTCCGAAGAAGGACCCCGGGCCCAAGCGCACGCTGACCAGGCAGCAGTTCACCCAGCAGGCGCGGAAAAATGTGTGCGTGTTTTTTTTTGCCGACAAGAAACCTGGAAAATGATCGGTCCATATTCCATGTAGGGCTTTTTTGTTTCTGACAAGAAACATGGGGGGCTGCTCAATATTCCATTTAGGGCCCCAAAATAACCCATGGGTAACTTTTCCCATTTGGTGGTGAAAGTCATCTTTTTGGTGGTTTCCCATGAAAAGGACCTTGTGATCAACCCCCACATCGCGACACAAATCCATTTTCACATTTGTCTGCAACAAGTCCCATCCTGCCAGAGAGGGTTTCCTCTGGTTTTGGCATGAGCAACGGACAATAGTATCCGTTTCTTATGGGAATTAATGATTTGTGGCATTCACATAAGCCTCTGGCAAAATCTCGCAGCAACTGGGAGCCGAGGAACGACAGGGGGCTGACACCTTCTAGAGGGCTGCTACACATCAGTGGATCACATCTCTGATAGACTGATGTGTGAGAAAATCCAATTTTTGGAGAACGTTCCTGCACCATCTCAATCACAGAGTACTATTCCGCGTTGGCCTTGGTGCCCCCCACAACACTTCCAACAATAGCTTCTGGAGAAATCACACAAACTTGCTTGCCTTTACCCAATCTCGAGCTTCACCACCCACTCGGACCTCACATCAGTGCCAGCAGAGGTTTGTCAGGCATGTTCGAGACAATGATGCAATCCCTCACGGCTCACGGGTGGCTACCGGGCAGACACAGTGCCCCCCTGGAACGCAAATCGGTCGAACCAGTTGGGTCAAAGTAGCTTCCTGAAATCCCTTCATGTGGTAAAGGCACAACCCATCTGCTGACGGCCATGAAGGCCGCATGAAATCTGAAGGCCCCTTCCCAGCGCCTTTCCTCGTCCTCACGTTTCTACTTGACATACTGCAGGTACTTCGCTTATAAAGCCAATATCACTTCAAGCGGAGTGGCCACTCATGTTCAGACATAAGTATCTCATGCCATGATCTTTTTGAGGAGCGGAAGGCCAGCTTCAAGCATGAGAGCCCAAAAGGGCGGTGTTTATGTCGTGCGGCATATCGACATAGTTTTGAACACATGACTTCTCATTTGTAGAAGGTCGTGCGTTGTGGTGTCTGATGTTTGGCGGGCAGCTGTGAGATTCCTTCTGCACAGGTGTCCATGTTTGAAAAGCATGCCTTACGCACTCATGCAGCCATTTCTCTTGAGCTCAAGTTTGCTCGCTTTCCGCAGGTGCTGAGTGGCTTGACCAAGGCGCCCTCAGACAACCAGAACATGAGGAAGCTCCACGTGAAGAATCTCCGGCCGGTGGTGCGGGACGAGGACCTGCGCAGCATCTTCAAGCCCTTCGGGGAGTTTGAGGACTTCCAAATGGGCTCCGGTGAGTGCTGGATCACCTTCAAGAACCACAACGACGCCCAGGCGGGACGCGAAGACATTTTTGTTGGTGTGTTTTCAGGGGACCCCCCAACAAGAAACAGTGGTGGTTTTCCTCTGGTTTTCCTTTAAAGCTCCACCAACACCCACAACAATTACAGACTTTGTATCCCTAGCCTGTGGGGAATCTCAGCGGCCAGAGGACGCCATGAGCTCCATGCAGGCTTTCCAGCTGGTGGGCCAGGAGCGTCAGTCCGTGGGGCCGGTGGGGCCGGTGGGGCCGGTGGCTTGGGTTTTGCATCGGCCGAACATTTCTTGGAAACTCTTCGGTTCTAAGCGGATCAGGTCACTCCTTGACCCAAAAAAGGAGTGGTCACCCTTTTGGCACGTCCAAACAATGGAATTTCTCACCAGTCTGAGAATTTCCTCCGAATCATATGCTCCAGGTCAAATGGATCAATGGTAGATGCTTAGTGGATCCCTCTCTCTCTCTCTCTGTCTGTCTGTCTGTCCGTCCGTCCGTTTGTCTGTCTGTCTGTCTGTCTCTCTGTCTCTCTGCCTCTCTGTCTCTCTGTCTCTCTGTCTGTCTGTCCGTCCGTCCGTCCGTCTGTCTGTTTGTCTGTCTGTCTGTCTTTCTCTCTCTCTCTCTCTCTTTCTACATGCACATGAATGCATTGCACAGATGAGTAGACCAGCACGATGGACGAATAGAGAAAGAAAGGAATAGATACATGGATGACTAAGTAAATACCATTGCGTCAGCAAGGGGCTGGTGACCAAACTTCGCTTAATCCGTTCCCCCTGTAATAAACGCACCCTATGAATAAATACTATTTTCCTCAGACCGCCGGGTCCCCAATACTACTTTTAGAATAGGCCAATTAAAAACGAATACTGAACTTGCGATATTTTCGCCCAGACCAGCCCCTGCCTTATTGGGGGGTAATTAGAATTTGTCCAGGACCCAAGCTCCTTGCACCAACCCAATACCAACTTCTAAATGCATTCTTACTTTTTACTAATTTATTTATTTTTGAATTGCCACTCTAAATTCAAACTGCGCCCTTGCTTTTTGAACCGCAAAAGCACAACACAAC